CGGCTCGATCTGCATCAGCACCGCGAGGGTGGCCTCGTCCAAGGGGTGAGGGCCTCGGAAAACACCCAGGAAACTTACCCGAAATGAAAAAAACTAGAACCACAAAGGGTTGGGGTTAAGGAAATCTAGCTTTTTCTAGTAGCCCCTTTTGGCTTTTATCAAGGCCTACTAGAAAAACTAGAACCCCAAGGTTAGGGTTAAGGGGTTCATTTTTTGTTTAGGGGGGGTTGGAAAAGTGGTACGCACATGAAGCCCTCCAGGTATGGTATGCCCAAATTTGACCAGGATGTGGGGAGCCCCGGAGTAAGCGACTTTCTCGATCAGGTAGCTTCATGGGAGGTAACAGTCAGACCTCTCTGCTGCAGTGAGCCCTCCAGGCCTTTGGAGGTGTTGTCCGTCCTGTGGTTGAGTTTGCTTGGGGGTGTCCCCTTTTAGTGGGATTCATCACTTTTGGAGGGCAACACCCCCCTAGGACTGGTTCTTCATCTGGTATACGTGGTTTCCTTAGGCTTGGTCTTCACTAGACTTTTGCTTTCCAATCTTTGCCTAAAAAGGTAGCCTCAAAAAACCGCTTGTTGGGAGGGGGGCGTGAAGGGTGGGTACTAATCAACAACAATTACTAATTCGTAGTGTAAGGGTACGGAGCTGAGGTTTGCAGAAGTGGTAAGCTTGGCTGTGACCCACGTAGTCAAAGTACGGGGGCTTAGAAACGATTTTGGAAAGAGGTTTACCCACGGAAGAAAAAAAAAGGAAAACAAGGGCCTAAATCATTAGCATGGGCTTGCAGGGTATCTCAAACCTAGCAAGTCATGCTCGCAATGGAGAACTACTAGCATTTGTCTTCCTATAATACGGCAGATGGACGAAATCCTGCACCACTCTGAAACCATGGGAAACAAACATTTGTTGTTGTTTTTTTACAAGGGAATCATCATTCCAGGAGTTCTGAGGTGTGTGCGAAATAGATTTCGTCCATCCACAGTATCCTACCGAAGGATGCGAATCGAAAACAACTGGTAATTTGGGTGTGAACCTCCACATAGGACTAGAACGGACAACTTCTTGGGCTTTCCCTTCAGTGTCCCTTTAAAAACCAACCATCAAAGCGGATTCCCTAGAATTTTGGACATTTGTCACCCAACTTTAGGAGCCACACCCGTTGTTTTCGTCGGTCCAGAACTGGGCTGCAGATCCCCTGCTAAAAGTTTGACTTAGTGGCTTTAATTCGGAAACCCAACCACTAAACCCGCTAAAAAGATCTAAACGGCTAAGGTGAACCAAAGGGACGGCTGGGCTTGCCGCCGGGCCAAAAAAAGGGCCGGGCCCTTTCAACAGACAGGATCTACACTCACTCCCGCCTCGCTTGGGCCAGATCTGCTGGCGGTTCAGTGACAGGAGCTTGGCCTAGCAACCAGAAAAACTTTGTTTGAGCCATACCGTGGATGGACAAAAAATCCAGTCCGCACCAGCGTTCAGAAATCCTGGTTTCTAATAATTCTCGCGTAAATGCTGACCAACAATGGTTTCAACCGTGGCTTCGCAGTGGCACAGCTTTCGTCCATTCACAGTGGGTCATGGACCCCATTTTGGGGGGAGCTGGGAGCGGGGGCATAGCTCACCGACAAAAACTCCTTGAGGCCTTAATGGCTTATCCTTGGCGTATGAGAGGCGGGTCCTAAAATAGTTAGTTTCCTGTTTGATTTCCATTTGCAGACAAAAACAACACCAACTTGCCGCAAATCAGGAGGGGGGTCAAGCAGTCAAGAATGAAAGCTCAGAAACACGCCGGCGTACAGGGCGTCGTCCCTTTCCTTCATCACCCTAGTATAAGGACTAAATGAAGACACACGTTAAAGTACCGCTATGAGTGGTACTAGAAGGGCCCTTCGATACTTAGAATCGGGTTGCGCTGTGTTGGCGTAAACTTGAGGGGTTTGATGGGGGCAATTTTTTGGTCTTAAGCGAAGAAGACACCAAGCAAAGCACCCCCGCTTTTCTGGCCGGTGCTTGTGCTTGGGGCTGGGCGGGTTTCGGAGAGGCGTTGCTCGGGGGCTTTGCCGGAGCCGAGCACTGGCATGATGTAGTCATCCAAGATGTGGCGCAAATGTAGGCATACAACAAGACTGTTTGTGTATATATATATATACTCGGTTGCTTTCTGCTCCCCTGCTAAAAGTTTAACTTTTAGTGGTTTAGTGGCAAACCCATTAGTTGGCAAAAAGTTAAAGTCCTAACAGCCAAGCAAAATGCACCAAAGTATATATATATATATTTACATGTAAGCTCACTCCCCCCATGATCTAAAACCTAGTTAAACAAATACCAACATGATATTGAAGGACACAAATGTAGATCGTGGGAGCATACATCTACAGTATATGGTCTGCGTAAAATGGCAGGCATAGTCAGAGATATCGTTTCATCTGGGTTTGCCTCTTGAAAGGGGGGTCCCAGGTCGGCCTGCTATTGGATTTCTCCTTCTGACCCAACAAAGAGCCGACCCTACAAGGGGTGCCCTCAAGACATCATGTTGTCTTGGACGTTGCCAAACACATATACACGCTCTGGGCATGCGCCCGACTTGCCCGTTGCCTCCACGGCCAAGCGCTCAAAGTCCAGGTCCTGGGCTGCGAAATCCACAGCCAGACCACAGCTGAACAAACCCACACAACCAGCTTGCGCTTTCTTTTCACGGGGCAAACAAAAAGGGGGAGCGCCACGCCGATCTCATGGGACTGGGTGGGTCGTTTTCAAGCGGTCCCCCATTTTGCCAATTCTAAAGTGAACCATGAGACACCAAAAGGAAACCAGCCGTGTTTGGGGGGGGGTCAAAGGGAAACAGCCACTAGTCTCTGTATGCGTCCCTCGGTGTTTCTTGGTTTCTCTCTTTCTCTCTGTCTTTCATGTGTGCTCTTTGTGTCTTTCATTGGTGTCTCGCTCCGTCTTTGGCCCTCGCGTGTAAGAGTCCACGGAGTAGGGACTTGCGTTGCCTCCAGGAATCAGTTGGAACACCGCAAAGAGGGCGCAAAAACAACCAAACAAAACACACACACACACACACTTTCGGGGTCCGAACAGGGGGTTGCAGCCCTTTGATTCGTCCGCTTTCTCCAGCCAACCGGAACTCCAGAGACTCATCTTGTAGCCACCGGGTCGATGGAGAACCCCCAGCCTCGGTGAAAGAACTAGAAATCTTTGACTTCGCATCCTTCATACTTAGCCTAGAATGGATTCATAGTTCGACCCCGGCAAATCGGACATTCATCTTGGCATCCTTCGACCCGCAGCTGTTCCACCCGTTTCACAAAACCATCGGACCGTTCAGTGGATGGACGAAATCCATTTCGCACCACCGTTCAGAAGCCCAACTTTTTTGGCGCGATTCCCAACGTAAATTCCAACAAAGGCTATGGTTTCATTCCCATGGCGGATTTCGATTTCCATCCACAGCACGGTGCCGTCCCATCGCGAGTCCAGCGCGGAAGAGGCGGTCCTTGGGCCTCGGGAGAGGTGGCTGCCCAAGTCCCGGAATCTTGGCCTGCGCGAGTGGCGTGGGACTAAGAACCATCCCTTGCACCCCCCAGGAGGGGGCTGCGGGGAGGGCTGAAGGTCTATCCCACCCCATAAGTCCTCAAGGGTTTATCCATGTCTTATGGAGATATGCAGGGATAGCACCCCCCCCACCTTCCGGGCCCCCTTTCGGGTCCATGCCTTGCGGTTCTTCCCTTTGGATCCCCAGGTTCCTTCCCATTGGCGAGTCCCTGAAACCCATTCCAGGTCAATCGTCGAGTGCCACATTTGAACCCAAGGACTTGGAGCGGAGAGTTGAAGTCCAGTCAGAGGGTGGCGTTTACTCCCTGGAAAGCTAAAAAGGAGAACTTGAATGCCGACGCTTTTCAGAAGATTTCAGCCTGCCCCAAGCAGAAAGGAGCCCTCACCGCCAAGGAGGTTTGGGGATCTCCATTTGCAGGGTTTTGGTTGCCTCAAACGGAGAGATGCCCTTTTGTGAGGTCCCAACATGCTCAGGGTGAGGGGCTCTTCACTTTTGGAAAATGACCAGGCAGAATGCTGTGGATGGATTTAGAAAAACTGGGATGGAACTCCAAACAGGATGTCTCATATACACATACAAGAGATGGAAGGGAGCCCTGCTGATTTGAAACCAGCAGCTAATTGGAAGTCAAACAACAGGCTTGGGGTGCCCTTACGGCAAAGGGTTGCACTGCAGGACGCGGCCCTTGGGTCATATAGTTCTTGCTGCGTCCGATGGCCATGATGAGATGCGTCTGAGCTATGCTCTGAACGCCGCACGCCTGAGCCGTGCTCTGGCCTTGCTCTGTCGCAAGTGGTGGATGGCTGCCAACGTCCATTTGCTTAAGCCCCTGGAAAAAAAAACAAAACAGTAGTGATCAATTCCTTTTAACACCAACAGGGGAAAATTAAACATATTCTTAAGCAAATGGCTGCCAACGTCTCGCTGTGAAGCCCCACCTAGCGCCAAAGGTTGGCGCGATGCGCAGGCCTCATCCCCAGCATCATTTCGACTGGTTCTGACAATACAGGTCATGCTGGGGATGCTAAATGAATGGGTTAAGGAAAGGAGGCACAAGAAGGGAAATGATGGGAATTTAAGGAACTGAAGGGACATGAAATGAAGTGGAGGGAATTGAAAGAAATGCAAGGACATTAATAGACATTAAGGGGAAGGAATGCAAATGAAGGGGAATAAATGAAGGGAAATGAAGGGAACTGAAGGGAGATGAAGGGAAATGAAGGAAAAGGAAGGGAAGGGAAACATGAAGTGAACAATGAAGGAAACGGGTATGATGCCCGGTGAGCGGCTGTTTTGCGTCAGCGTCTGAAAAGCATATCAGATAGATATCGTGCAGGTTCTCACCAGAAGCCTCCAGTTTGTTCCTAGCACCCGTTTGTGCCCGTTTGCGTCTCAGTGGATCACCCTTAATTGCCACTGTTTGCAAACAGCTACCACCCGCCAACCCAACCCAATCCAAACCCAACCCGACCCAACCCGACCCAATCAACCACTGCTCTTTGGTTCCACTCCGACATCTCGGCTCTCGGATCGATCGATCCGGCCGGGGTCCAGGCGAGAGGCTGAGATTGGGAGTCGAAGATGAGGATCTTCTGAGCCTGGGGGGTGGGTCAAAGGGCTGCAAAGGGGCATTTGCGCGGAGCCGAGAAAGCCGTGAACAAGCCATGTTCTAGCCTCAGACCTCTAGCTCCCTTTGGCCCCCCCGTTTTGGAGGGGGGTTCCCGTTACAAGCAAGTACTGCAAATAGGCGGCCTTTCTTCCAAAGTCCACTGGGTATCGGTCCGCGTCCCTCCAAAAAGTTGATCTGTTTCAACTTGCTTCTCCAAAAGTCTTGTCCACATCTGGCTTAAACCCGCCGAAGCGATGTTTTGCTTTTGATCTGACCCAAGCTTTGAAACTTGTTCAGTGAACCCAAAGAGGAGTTTTGAAGGGCTGTTACTTAGATGGTCTGCTGATTTTCATTTGGAAACCAGGTACCGGATCAATAACAATGGTCAGGGCTCAAACCGGCCAAAGCGATGGATGCAACGAGAACCCCGCAACAAAAACAAACATCGCCGGGTCCAATGCGACGCTTCCTACTTAGATGGTCTGGGAGGAATCGCTAAATGGCTAGTACCCCGGTTGTAGCCAACCGCAAGAGTCCCCTGAAACCAGGGTTGCTAGCCATTTAGCAATTCGTCCCAGACCATCTAAGTAGGCGGTGGCAAATGTGAGAACAAACCACCCAGCCACCTTTCACGGCGAGTTTTGGGTGGTTGGGGGGTGAATGTCACACCCAAAGAATCTTGAAACATCAAAAGGGGCTTCTCGCAACCAACACCTGCCAATGGAAATCCCTAAAAAGACCCTATGGGGGGGTTCAATGACGCTTAGAGCAGGCCAAACTGCCGTGGAATTCCGAAAAGGGCTTTTTTTTAAAGGAGGGCATTCAAGCTAAACGCCACCCTGACTGGACTTGAACAAAACTCTCTCCTCCAAAACTCCTCTTTGGGTTCACTGAACAAGTATCAAAGCTTGGGTCAGGTCAGAAGCAATACATCGCTTCGGCTGGCTTAAGCCAGATGTGGACAAGACCTTTGGAGGAGCAAGTTAAAACAGATCAACTTTTTGCAGGGACGGCGGAGTGCAGTACCTCCAGAAAGAGGGCCAAAGGGCACTAGAGGTCTGAGGCTAAAACATGTTTGGCTTGTTCACGGCTTTCCCGGCTCCGTGCAAATGCCTAAACCAAAAGGTTACAAGAAAGACACTGAGCCGACAATGCGAACGTAAGCTCTTGATCGTCAAGTGGACTCTCTCCGCCACCCAAGAGGCGATGGGCTTAGAATCTCAGTTCGTGAATCGTAAATTCGGATACAACCCACTTGGGGATGGACACAATGCTAAATCAGTTGGGATGGATGAAACCCTATAAATACTGTGATAAACCACCTAATAACTGGTGCAGGAAATTCTCCATCCACGGTGGGTTATAACCAGTTAACAACTTAGGCGCCAAGGCGTTGGTACTATTCCCCGATCGAGAAACTTATCTCCCAGATTGCGCGTCCACGAGAACAGACCAGTTGCATAAAGCGCACAGTCCTATGCGACAAGTGGCCCAATGCTCTCAACTCCATTTGTGAGCACAAAATCATGCTACGAAGGAACAGCCGAAAATGCAATACATCTCATTTGAAGAGCTTGGAGTACTGCTCAGCCATCATTGAATGCACTCGGCTTGCCGAACTGACGTCCCGGCACTTGAATGCTCCCCTGCTTGCAAATAGAGAAACAACTGACACTGTAGCTGAAGGACTGGCGGGACATCTTTGCTAGAAACGTGCTGTAAAAATTTCGGCAGCATAAAACCTGATAGCCAGGCATGTGTACCTGTCAGAGAGGGAGACAAGAACATGCTCCGCATCTATGCTACCACCTGTGCCATTCCTGTGGCTGCAGGTGGTTGCATGCAGGTGAGTTTAGGTGAGTCATAATCAAAACCTGGCACACAAATGGTGCACCCACAACCACGTAAAGAAAGAACAAGGGCAGCTGCACCCATGTATGGTTGGGACTCTTCACTTCCCCGGGTTTCGATTGCGGCTCAGCTGGTTTGACGTAATTTGCACTTGCACCTCGCGCATCCGCAGCGAGCGCTCGACTCGCTGAGGGGCGGGCTTCCGCAGGAGGCTGAGCTTTGGCCTTAACGATCTTGACCTAGCGATCGGGTGAGGCCAACGGTTTCGACATGAAAGACAGAGCGCCTTTTAATTCGCATGCGCGTCCTGGTTTCCCTTTGAAGGGGCCAAAAGAGTCATAATCAAAGGGGTGGTATTGAAATGGCCGGCGGGAGTTAAATAGGTGGCGAAGGCACCCGTTTATACCAAGCTGGGATTCTCCCGTACTAAGATCCATCTACCCGGATCGGTTTTGAGCGAGCGTTTTCACATCCTGTTGCCCAACCCTGCTGCTGAAACATCAATAAGTCGCTGCCTTCTTTGGGCTCTCAGCCATGTGCAGGTTGGAGGGCTCTGACTCTTCGGGGCGGTTTCTCGGGCAAAGTGAAACTCCGACAGGCTGAGGTGGGTCCAACCTACGAGAAACGAGCGATGTTGCCACGATATGAGGCCGATTTCTATTCAGTTTTGCAGGGCATCGGTTTGGGCAGGCCCCTATCGGTTTCTGTCAACCAGCCATACAAACGAGTCTAAATCTCCGAGGGTGGGCCTGGTCCAGTCACCAAATCCTGCAGTGGGATATCCTCCACGCCAGAAAACCAGGCAGAGCAATAAGTAAAGAGAACTGCTCCAAACTTGGATGCTTAAACCACTTAAGTAGGTTGTAACCATGCCAACGACCAGGAAACCACGGTAGTCCGATTCCCTTTCTGTATGTATATATATATATATATATGTTATGTATCCATGGTTACAACATGCGTGTTAAGTGAGTTGAACATCCGCGATGCGACAACCTAGGCCTTTCATCACACCGCCTCATTAATATACTGATTGTGGCCAATATTCTGCCAAGGCAACTGGCTATTGCTACCTATGGTTTTCCAGGACGATGCGGCGGATCCTCTGAATATTGCAAGTAGGAAACCTGGCGGAAACCCTGAAATGACCGCATTTTTCAGGGCTCTGTGCATAGTTTCTGTTGGTTCACTTGCAACATGTAGGGAGCCTGATTGTATCAATCACAGCACGAGGCCGCCTTTGAGGCCCGGGCGGGGGCAGAAGGCTGCGCTTTGGCCTTGACGATGGTCTTCTGAACCTCAGATGTCCAGCTACCAGAGAACAAGCGCTGGGCTGGGTGAACTACTCCGGGAGCCGGCCTCAGGTTTCGTGGTCCCCTTGTTGGCTCCAAAATGGGTACCTTCCATTTGCTGAACGCGCCGCCCGGAAAAAACTGAAAAGATATGCCCAGTGAAATCGCTTCCCTTTGAAGCATTGAAAACATATGCAATCCAAACCACCAAGCCCAGCCGAGGCTGAGGTGGCCCAAAAACGCCACGGAATGTCCAGCTCCGAGGTCCGGGCCCTCTGATCGGGCAGACTCCCCGCTGTCTGCGCGAAGAGGTTTGCGAGAGATGCGGTTTGAGCTGATGTAGCATCCGAAAGGAACCAATTTTTGTGCGGCTATTTAGGGCCACCCAACATTAAAAACCCTCCGGTCAGTTGCTTTAAAGGGAGATTAATAGGAAATCGCACATGTTCAGGGGTCCTCTACTTCGAGACGCGCGCATGAGCAACACAAACACATGACTTGTTTACCTAAAAGGACATGGGAAAATCCGGAGCTCCTCCGATTTTTGTGGGCAACTACAAACCAACACTGGACTCAGCATGACCATTGCCCGCGTGGAGCGCAACATGGGGATGCTGTGCTGTCGAGAGCTTATGCGTGGAGGCAGGGAGGCATAGTGGGCACTTGCCTGGTTTAGAGCGTTGCTATCTTCATGGCTGGAAAGGGAAAGGGTTTCTTCTTGAAACCCATCCCGGCCTTACAAGCCCAGGTACTTGATAACTGACTTCATTTTCGGGACTTTATTGAAATGATGCTGCACGTTTAGAGGAGGCGATGTTCAAAACAAGGGTCAGGTCATATGCAAGTGTCTCTAATCGACAGGTCGTTTGGTTCACAACAAGTATATACCAATTAAAGGCAGAAGCAACTCTGGTTGCAAGGGCCTAAAAGGGCCCCCTGCAACCCTCAAAGATTGCAGAAATGAGGGGCCTGAGAGGAACACAAACGTGTGTTTCTTGGGATAGAGTGGGCGGGCCCTGAGCTGGGCAACATCGCCAGCATCACCTGCATCATCCGCATCAGCGCCTGCTAAGGATGTGGATGATGCAAGTGATGCTGGGGATGTTACCCATGCCTGCTGGTTAAGGGAAATCTGGAAATGAAGGAAAATGCACGGAATTCAGGGACATGAAAAACGGAAATAAAGGGACATGAGGGGAAGTTTAAGGAAAGTAAAGGGAATGAAGATCTTCAGGGAAAAAATATTTTAGGGGGGGAACTGGGAGAAGATCGGAGGGGGGGGAGGAAGAGGCACGGGGAGATCGTTAGGGGCAAAGAGTGGGAAAGGAAAAGGTCTCAAAAAGGGGGGGAAAGGGGGAAAAGATCTTAGGGAGGGAGAAGGGAGGAAAAGAGAATCTTAGGGCGGAAAAGGGTGGAAACGATCTAGGGGGGGAGCGCGGCAAATCATCTTAAGGGGGAAAAAAACTTGGGGGGGGGGGGAGTGGGGAACGGATCTTAGGTGGGGGACAGGGGGCAAACGATCAGGGGCGGAGGGAAGGAAAAACCTTAGGGGGAGAAGGTGGCAAATTTCAGGGCTGAGGGGGAAAGGGGGAAAGAGATGTTAGGAGGAGAAAGGGGGGTAAAGAGGCCAAGGGGGGGGGGCAAGGGGCGAAGAAGATCTTCGGGAGGGAAAGGGAAGATCCTAAGGAGGGAAAAGGCGGGAAACGATCTTAGGGGGGCAAGGGAAAGGATCCGCCAAGAGAAGAGGGATGACTGAGCCTTGAATGACAACGGCAGGAACTCAAAAAAATTAGCGAGAAAGTTGCAAACAAAAACCCGCAGGCATCTCCTCCCACCCCGACGAGGGGGTTAGGAAAATTAGCTTGTTGCGCAGGTGCGACCGCACGGGCTTCTGTTTGAAGCAGAATCGATTCAACGCATGGAGATGCACTGAATGTCGTCATACGAGTGCTGATTCGGAGATGCGACACGTCAAGGCAAACAACACGCCCGTGCCGTCGTGCGTGTAGACCTTCCGGTCCACGGCGCATATTTGGGACGTCGAAAACTGCGCAAGCATCACCATCCGCGCTCCTGTGCGACGGTGGGGGCCGCTCTTGCTGGCTGGGCTGGCTTGCGGGGCGCAGGCTTTGTGCGGAGAGGCGTTGCACAAAGCTCTGGCAGATTCTTATCTCGAAGAATGAGCTTCGGTCATCAAGATGACTGAATCCGAAAACCACCAATGAAGACTGCCAATTGCCGGTAAGCTACTTGCACTTGGCTCACTTGCTCAGAAGGGCCCGCCATAGAAAGGCCGACTTTGGGTAGCATGACTACACCACGGACACACACACATATGATATATGTATATGCGCATTTTTTGTGTAGAACCTGTGTTGAAGCAGTAGAAACATGTGTTCTTCCTTCTTTGCCTAATTCAAAAAATCGCCTTTGACCGGTGTTTTGACACGTTTCTAAAACCGAATGGATATGTTTCGTAAGACTACACACATCCTTACGGTAAAACTTGGAGAGTTGCCATTTGTTCAAAAACCGCCTTTTTGCATGATTTCACTACGAGCCTTAAAGCAGTCTAAGAACTTCAAAGACTTCTCAAAAGTCAGTACTCACTTATGGACATCAGCGATTCTCGCCGCATAAAACATTCATTTGCGGTGCTTCAAATGCTTTGCACGCCTTGAAACAATGTGGGTTTTACCATCTGCGTTCCCTCTTTTGTTTTGGGGCCAGGGTCTGAGCGCTGCTTTTTCTTCAGGGGGTGTTTTGATTGCTTCTACATTCTTGACAGTATTTGCACTTCTAGCGACTTGACACTACCAATTCATCGGATGGTTCTATCATACAAGCGCCTATTATTTGGTTGTGCGCCATGGTCAACGAAGTCAAACAAATTGTATCTACTGGTCGACCAAAAGGCTTTACTTCTTGTCTCAAACCCCTTTTGCAAGTCCAGAAGCATCGCTTTTGACCATGGCATGTTGTGGGCATAGCAGGAAACTGAGCCCAGGACGCACGACATGTTCAGTACCCCCGACATGACAAAGGTTAGTAATACACAGGAGAAGCATCCTTTGAGCAAACCCTCAAACTAAAGAACACACCGAGCGGCTACCAAGTGGCTTTACAAAACAACCAAAACCGCAAACATTAGCTTCCTCGCGGGAAGCTCTTTGTGTGAAACTTAGTCACACGGCCCCGGCAGCCCCCAGTGCTGAAAGAGGGGAAAAGATCTCATAAGGAGGTGGGAGGGAAAGATCTTAGGGGGGAGGAAGGGGGAAAAGATCTTAGGGGGGAAAGGGGGGGGAACAGATCTTAGGAGGGGAAAGGGGGGAAAAGATCTTATAAGAGGGTGGGGAGAGGGGGAGAGGATCTTAGGAGGAGAAAGAGTGGAAAAGATGCTAGGAGGGTTAGCGGGGGAAGGGTGGAAAAGCTCTTTGGGGGGGAAAATGGGGGGAAACGATCTAAGTGGGTGAAAGGGGGGGAAAGACAATTTAAAAGGGGGAAGGGGGGGGGGAAGATCTTAGAGGGGAAGCGGGGCAAGGGGGGCAAAGATCGTAGGGGGGAAGAGGGGACGAGATCTTGCCGGGAGACTTCCAAGGGGAGAAGTCCAATGGGATAATTCCAATGGCGATGGCAAACATCCAATGGAAAACTTCCAATGGGACAATTCCAAAGGGACGCAAATAAGAAAGCAGGCCTGTAATGTCGGCGGCCTGAGCCGGAGGCGTCAAAATTATGGTACACAACACGTGTCCAAAACACATATAGAAAGCAAAGGGTGCCATTGTCAAACGTGAAGGGTCACACTGAAGTGGTGCACCCGCTACGTATTCATTGAGCAAGGGGTTGTACATCCCTAGTACTTTCCACTCTGCTTACTCCGGATGACCGTACTCAAAAAAAGAACTGGCCGTGAAGAGTCCTCGTTGGCGGAAGCATGGTTTCTCAACCCAGAGTCGGGAAGTAGGAAAAACCTGAATGTACTTCCTCTCTGGATCGCCCTTTGGGGCAACAACCCAAAAGAGGATAACCATGTTTGCTGACATCTGATCAATACACCTCAAGTTGCTGCTCAGAAGCCTCTCAGAGGAAAGACTAACTGTTTACATTCATGGACACTCCAAGGAGGGCTAAATATAGGGCAACCCCTGGATAAGCCCAGCATAGGCCAAAGAGAAGCCTTCTGCTACTCAGCCCTTTTGACGTGTTTATTAAGGCCCCCTCCCTATAGCCCCCTCCACAGGTCCATGACATCTTCGCTCCAATGTTTTTTCTCATCTCTCGCTGGACTCGCTAGGTATGGCGATGCGTGCATTGGGGCCTGGCCGTCAAAGCGCGCAGACCGGTTTGGAGGGGTTTGGAGTGGCTCCGGGCTAAGGTTCCGGAAGGGTGGCCAGGTGTGAGGGTTCCCCTCTAACCTTGGTTTAGAGGGCAACCAGAAGAAACACCATCATTTGGGGGGTTCAACCTGCGGTTTGGACACATGCTACACCCATTTCTTGGTTCCGTACAAAGCGTCCGACAAAACGCCCCGCCCCCCCTCGCCCTTACGCATTTGCACCTGGGTGTGTCTTGAAATAGAAGACTTGGAGGGATATTTCATCATCCACGAAAGAGCCAGATCATTGCACAAAGCAATCATCTTTGGAAATGTTCAATATTGAAATAACATCCACCCCACAACCTGTGAGGAACCTCCATTCTGTGCCCAGTATTGCTGTTGGGTCCTCCAAAAAGTTTCTCCAGAGGCCTGCGCACCTGGGGTCTGCACTCAGCAAGGCAGACACGGACTCAAACACCTTGCGTCAACTTTCCGTTCCTCACAGGGTCCATTTTTGGTTTTCGTGGACCATGTCACATGGTTTGCATCTCAAGCGGCCCCGCAATGGCGCCAAAAGGCCACACTGTCATCCTTGTGTTCTTATGAACTGGCCAAGTGCTTTGGACACCGAGCAATTGAGTCATTCACAATGAGGCATCAAAACCTGGTATGCAGGGAGTCTTCCCAACGCGAGAATTACAGCGAGAGGACAGGAATCCACCACAAGGTGACATATAGGCTGGGAGCCTCGTTGGCAAACGGGAGACGACCCTTTCCAGCTTCTGATTTCAATAACACCCTGAAACAGTCAACAAAAACGGCTTTGCTCTCGTTGGTGGCTTGGTGGCTTGCAGGTGTTCTGTGGGTGGTGTCCTCTTTACGCGATCAAACCACCCGTACAGACCACCTATACAAACCACCGAGTCAGGGTAAACAACCACCCGTGCGAGCCCCAGCCTTGAGAGGCAGGTGCCTGTC